GATAGTGAGGTACGACATCATACATTGTAATTATTCCTGGTATAACTGATAATAAGGTACGACACCGTACATTGTAATTATTCCTGGTAGTAACTGATATTAAGGTACGACATCATACATTGTAATTATTCCTGGTAGTAACTGATATTAAGGTACGACATCATACATTGTAAATATTCCTGGTGGTAACTGATAGTAAGGTACGACATCATACATTGTAATTATTCCTGGTTGTAACTGATAGTAAGGTACGACATCATACATTGTAATTATTCCTGGTTGTAACTGATAGTAAGGTACGACATCATACATTGTAATTATTCCTGGTAGTAACTGATAATAATGTACGACACCGTACATTGTAATTATTCCTGGTAGTAACTGATATTAAGGTACGACATCATACATTGTAATTATTCCTGGTAGTAACTGATATTAAGGTACGACATCATACATTGTAATTATTCCTGGTGGTAACTGATAGTAAGGTACGACACCCTACATTGTAATTATTCCTGGTAGTAACTGATAGTAAGGCAGTAGTAATTAAGGTGTTATTCTTGTGATATCTTATATTAAAAATAAATATATATTTAGTAGGTTAAATATATCTTTTATTTAGAAAGTTAATTGAGATTTTAGACCACATTATTTCGCACATAATGTATTTACTCCTTATTGGTTTAATCACCATTTATCAGAACGGAGGTCATCAAGTGAACATTCAGACGAAGTTTTCCTCGTATTTTACTTCAAATACATCTGATTTAGTTGCACTAACAGTTACTCAGATAGCTGTCCCCCTCTTCCCATAGTTTACTAACTTGAAGTAATTTGCTAACGAATGACCAACCTAGATATTACGTCATAGTACAAACATTGGATGCCATTTTAATTTTTTTTGCTTTGCTTGTCGAGATAAACTTTTTATTTTGAGCTAAACTATTATGGTTTACTAACCATATTTTCAGTTTAAAGTACAATATTCATATTTTTATGTCAATTGTAAATACAAAATAAGCCATAGAAGAAGTCTGTTTACAGTATGTTTAATGACATTAGAACAAAAAGGTGAAATACCAGTCTGATGACATCAGAAGAAATGGATGAAACGTCGGTCGAATGACATCAGGAGAAAATGGTGAAATGTTGGTCGAATGACATCAGGAGAAAGAGGTGAAATGTCGGCCTAAAGACATCAGGAGAAAATGGATGAAATGTCGGTTGAATGACATTAGGAGAAAGGGATGAAACGTCGGTCGAATGACATCAGGAGAAAATGGTGAAATGTTGGTCGAATGACATCAGGAGAAAATGGTGAAATGTCGGCCTAAAGACATCAGGAGAAAGAGGTGAAATACCAGTCTAGTGACATCAGGAGAAAGGAGTGGAATACCAGTCTAGTGACATCAGGAGAAAGGGATGGAATACCTGTCTAGTGACATCAGGAGAAAGAGGTGAAATACCATTCTAGTGACATCAGGAGAAAGAGGTGAAATACCATTCTAGTGACATCAGGAGAAAGGAGTGGAATATTGATTTAATGACATTAGGAGAAAATGGTGGAAAGTCAGTCGAATGACATTAAGAAAAAGTGGTGAAATGTCGGTCTAGAGTGGTAACGCGAGAACAAGTTAGTTTTATTATATTTTTAATTAACAGACAACAAATCTTCCCCTTTCAAGTCGTAGTCATGTATATACTGCGTATGATAAAATACACCTGTGATGCAGGCTTGGCTAGAATCCAATGCTTACGTGTAATCCAGAGCGTCCGTTTTAGCTGATAATTAAACATACATATTTCTAAGTTGTATGTTCACTTTCTAATCAACATTTCGTAATATCCGCCAACGCGTTCGGGAAACTCGCCTTCAATTGTAAAGCGAGAGAATAGGATTGAATGTTAATAAACTAATCAATGGGATAGACTCACGCGTTCTCTTTGGTGTCGTGATAGGTAGACTTGAATAAACGTAAACGTATTCTACTTGAAAACTATTCATTTGGTGGAGATCTTATCCTCATTAAGATATATAATACAGTCAACTAAAAGCGGGATTTTAATTCAAATACTGAGTGGGATACGCTATGCAAAAAAAATGTTCGTGGTTCTAAATTTAATTCAAGTACAAATAACATTTACATTAAAAATGTAATGTGATTATAAATGTAAATAAAAATTCAAAGTAACGTACACTACAAGAGTGTATGTCATACTAACTTTAATACAAAGTAACAAATACTACAAAAGTGTATGTCATACTAACTTTAATACAAAGTAACGTATACTACAAGAGTGTATGTCATACTAACTTTAATACAAAGTAACGTATACTACAAGAGTTTATGTCACACTAACTTTAATACAAAGTAACGTATACTACAAGAGTTTATGTCACACTAACTTTAATACAAAGTAACAAATACTACAAAAGTGTATGTCACACTAACTTTAATACAAAGTAACACACACTACAAGAGTGTATATCATACTAACGTTATAGTACAAAGTAACGTACACTACAAAAGTGTATGTCATACTAACTTTAATACAAAGTAACAAATACTACAAAAGTGTATGTCATACTAACTTTAATACAAAGTAACAAATACTACAAAAGTGTATGTCATACTAACTTTAATACAAAGTAACAAATACTACAAAAGTGTATGTCATACTAACGTTATAG